GCAGCCAAGGAGGCTACCAAGGGCCATCATCAGGCCATGCCCCTGGCCTTTTCCTTTTCCTTTCCCCTCGCGGCAGCCATACCTTTCGGCGTGCAGATTCGGACGTACTCCGTAAAGAAGAGCAAAGCCCAGGCAGGCGTCGAGAATGGGATAACCACGGTCTTCCCATCACGCCTGTTTCCCTGCAAGACAGAGCGTTTCCACAAGCTCCATGCGACCCAGCGCTGCGGCAGAGAGGGGAAACCGCGAAGGGAGAAGGGATGAGAGGGGGACGACTGACAGGTTCAGGTGGTTCTGCTCCGGCCCGGAGGGGAAGCTGGGTTATTCCCCTCGGTGGTCCGACCGTGGTATTTTTTGTCTTATTAGCAGGCCACAGCCGCCTGCCTCGGCCGGGCAGGCAACTGCAATTCCTGCGGGCTTTGCTTCTCCATCTCACTGCTTTTACAATACATGCATGCCTTCCTACCAGGTAGTTCCAACCCCCGGCCGCGGCGCTTCCCCATCATTCATCTCGCAGTGTTTTCCTCCTCCCGTCCCTCCCACCTGGCGGAGAGGAATGCACACAGACGCTGCGGGAAATGGGCTGCCCGCAGGCCCTAGTTCCATGACGTAGCTTCCGGAAGGGGACCGCATCGGGGTTTGAGTGTTGATCGGTGGAAGGAGATGCGGTGCACGAGCTAGAGGGAGCCGCCCAGGACGCCAAGGAACAAGAAAAAAAAAAATTAGGCCAGCACACGCCAGCCCCATGCTCGTGCTTCGTACGCGAGCTGGAGCTGAGTGAAGCGAGGATTTTAGGAGCCAGGGAGGACGAGCAGGCCCTGTCCGGCCCGCTTACGGGGCCGCATGTTAGCATGCTGTTGGTAGGATCTGGCTGGCGACACGCAAAGCTGTGGGACAGCAGCAGCAGCAAAAACAGCAAGTCTCAATGGTGGTGGTGGCATCTGCGATGGGGCGGGGCTCGGGCAGGCAAGCAGGTTGGAACTAGAGTTCATCCCGCAGCATGGGGCTCCCCTTTCCTCGTGCGTCAGGACCTGGGCGACTGCTGCGGGCGGCCCGCGCTGAAGCACTCTTGCAACACAGCGACCTAGTCAGCACAGCCATGCTAGAATGGGCAGTTGTGGGAGAGGAGCCCGAGGAGAAGTCCTTTTGTTTTTCGCGGTTTCCTTCTTGCATCTGTGCCTTGGAAGCTCGACGCCCCGGGCGTTGCAAGGCCTCCTTCGTCTCGACGACCCCCCAGCACATTTTTTTTCTTGGGTTCATATTTCCCGCCGTTTAATTGTTTCATTGAGGCCTGTCACTGTGCGCGCTGAAATCCTCCCCGAACCGTCAGCAATATTCATCGGCTGCACACCCCCTCCCCTGGTCCAAGGTCTTTCTTTTAACTGGACAAAAACGGTCGGTTGTTCGATGATGATGTCATGGATACCGGCCGATATTATTACAATGCCCTGTCCTGTTTCAACGTGGGTGCACGGCGCAGGCGGGAGGAAGCTGTGGTAAAAAAAGCAAGCATTGCTGATGCCATCGAGGCCATGTGACCTCCAAATGCCCTCATCCTATTTTCGAGCGCTTGAGGCAGTTCCCCTTTTCGTCTTTCCTTCCTTGGAAAAGAAGGTAATGCCTTGCCGCACAAGGAACCGTCGATCAGGTCCAGCCCGAGCCGTCGGCAAGCCAAGGCGTGAGCGGGAAGATTCCCTGTTCGTGGGAGCATCTTGCCATCCCAGGCACACCCGAGGGGGCTGCGGCCCCGGCGGATGGGACACCGAAGATGGGAGGACGGAGGGCGGATCAAGGTTCCATTGTCATCTCTCTACCTAGCTGAGACTTTTCCCACCTTTTTTTTCTGGGACCAACCGACACCACTGCCGTTGCCCGCTGTCCGAATGGGAACTCTGTCGGGCGTCTGGTGCCAATCGGCGGAATCGCGCAAATGGCGGCGACGGCAGATGGAAACACGAGGAGGCTTTTTGATATTTTTCTTTGTTTTTATACGACGGGCTGGCTGTTAGCTTTGGTGGACCTGAAATTGCAGCAGCCCATCGAGCTTTGATGTGATTCGTGCTTTATTTGCCGCAAAATACCAGCACCCCATGCCCGAAAAAGCAAAAAAAAAAAAAAAAGAAGACACACCAGCGGCGCGCACCAACCCAACTGGCCGCCACGTTCCGGACGCCGTGGTCTGCACGCAGGCGCCTCCGCCCAGGTGATCCCATCCGACGCACCCGGGGGCGCGCTGCTGAGGGAGACGTTAGGTCACGAGGGGGCCCGTCAGTGCCACGTCTGTGGCATGCGATGCTTCCCAAGTGTAATATGGATGGGAGGGTGCGCACGCCATGGTTGGGTGGCGCCCGCCAGCCAGCTTTCCCTGCTTGCTGACGGAAGACGGGCGCCGTTTTTTTTTATGGCTATTCGCACTCCCATTGCATCGTGGTTGGCTGGTCGGACACCACTCGAGTGCGTCATGTTTGGGTTGCCAGCCAGAGCAAGAGGGAGAGGGAGAGCTCCCGCAAACCCCCCCACACCAGGCCCGTTGCTGGGCGTGGGTGTTGGGCACATTCTTGGGAGGGAGATTCTCACCCTGCCTTCTTCAACCAGACATGAATTGCTTCCTCGGCGACCAACACGTCAGCCCAGGAATGTGTGTATCGCTTCGTCTGCTCTCTTTCGTCCCCAAGAGAGCCGTCCTCGACTTGGATTGGCTGGGGGCAGCCCAAGCATGCCGTTGACGGGCATTTGCAAGCTTCGTCGTACATGTCGCGAACGCCATCACCCAATGGGGAGATGGATAAGAACTCGCTTCTCCTTCCCACACCCCTCTGCCGCCGCATCCCCAACGAGTACCAGTCGCTGTGCTCGTGGCGCCGGCCTAGATGGGATGCGGTTTCGGTGACACGCAAGCACCAGTCGTCTCATCACATCCAACTTTCTCCTCTTCCATACAGGCTTGGCCTGTATGCCTGTTGACTTTGGTTTCTCTCTCTTTTTTTCTTCTTTTTTTCATGTCCTTCCTTGCTCTGGCTCCTTGGCCCTGGAACGCCCTGGGTCTGAGGTCTAGAAAAAGCGGTGAGATAGCTCGACTCTGGGGTGCAGCTGCTTGGTGGCCACGCCGGCCAATCAGCCTTCACGCTCGCAACCAAAGTTGGAAGCAGTTGGAGCATGGGGGAAAAGCTGGTCTCGACTCGAATCGTCGCCCAATGGCACCGGCTTATCCCACCTGGTCCCCACGGCCATCCTGGCTGACAAGGAGGGAGAAAGGGACGCCGGCCGTCGAGGCGTGTCGTTCTAGTCCGGTCTTTCTGTTGAGGCTCCTTTTAGTGGCCTCTTCCGCGCGGTGCTGGGCTGGCTGAATCAATATGCGAGTCCGAACTAGGGCACGGGCTGGCTCGTAGCTCTCGTCGCCGCCGCCGAGTGGTCTAGTCGGGTGCGAGAGACACTGTACGCTCATCCTACCCCTCACTGCCACCGCCACGCTCGTCGCATGGACCGTGGAATGGGTACCTACTCCTCCTAGTGGCTTCTTGTCGGCTCTTTTGTCAGGCATCAAGAATAGCAAGCGATGGCCTCTACGGCGACACCATGGGCAAACATGTTTCCTGTGATGGTCGCTTGGCTGCGAGATGAGCCACATGGACGCTCACCGGCTTCCTGTCGTGGGCTTCCTGTCGTGGGCGCATCGGCAGCGAGCCTGTCCCTGGTTGGGCAACTCCCCAAGCGCGACAGCACCTTGACGAGGTCTCGCGACTCTCTGCCTTGTTTCTTTCTTGTTTCCCCCGACACGGGAAGCAGTGCTTCCTCTGCAACACGGGCCCAGCCGTCCTTCTCCGGTGAAACAGCTATCTCCGGGTTGGGGAACACGTCGTGCTTGTCCTCCAATGCGTCGAGTCACAAACCGGGCACGCCATCAGAGACAGAAAAAAAAGTGGCGATCCGCAGCCTGTCTCCGCCCCTCGCGCCCTCCGCAGGGGCACCGGTCGATCTGGCTACGGCTGAGCTGTCACGTCTGAAGATGGATGGGACACAACATTTCAGGCGCTGTCTGGGTCTAGGCAACAGACAGCTATTGGGAGCGCTATGGGTGCCGCCCCTCCCAACCGGTGCTTCCCTCCATCTCCATTTCACCCGGAGTGGGTGGGCTCTATCACGGACCCTTCCTAGCTCCTGTGGGTGGTCTCCGATGGCTACTCGGAGGGGAAGAGCATGGGTCGCGCAAAGGTATCGCGTCTCGACGTCGCAGGAGGCTAGCGTCGCAGACTCGTGCAGGTGCCTGCCTCCCCAGACCGGTCAGCGTTGGAAGGTTCCCTCGTCCGCAGGCCTTGGTCCAAGACTGAGATTCGGGCAGCGTTGACAGATGCCACCATCGCGCTGCCGGCGGCGGTGCGACGAAAATGCGCGTCCACCGACGTGCCACTGCATGGGGGAGCCCATATTAGCCTCTCTTTTTCCCCGGCGAGTTGCCGTCTCATGGAAAGTCAGGGTGGACGCACATACACGACACAGCGTCGCTTTGGCAGTGCGCCGCGATACTGTAGCTCACCATATCTAACCTTCATGGCCACCCCTTCTCATTTCTTTCTTTCGTGTCGGAATGCAACAGCGTTTCGGCTTGCCCTTTCGGGGTTGCCGCTCCATGATGGGTAGCACGAAACGTCGGACGGGGTAGGATGCCAACCACCTTGCTCCTGATCTTCCCCGCAAATCCAATGCTCCCCGGATTCACAAGATATTTTCGTGCATTTTGCGGGGGAATACGGAATCAGAGCAAGCATCACAAACGAAGTCCGCATTAGGAGAAAATCCCCGTGGCTGAAGATGTGGCTTTCTGCCCCCTTCGTCAGGCCTGCTGCAGGGTGAAGCCAACGTCTGGCAGCGTTGAATGCTGCTGGTTGGAGGTCCGATGGTGAAGACCCGTACGCACACCCACCCCCTCCTCGCGTGCAGCGAACTGAAGCAGGCTGATTTCATTGCGCAGTCGACCCCAGGTTTATTGTCTTCTTGAGAGCATGATGGGCACCATCAAGCGAGGCAGCTGGGGGTTCCATGCAGCAGCAGCGGCACTCAGTCCCCCGAGCCTAGACGAGATCGGGTATGCCGGCGGTGCACATACGGCAGCCATACAAGCAAAGGGCAGAGTAGCTTCGCTGCGGGTGTCGACGAGTCGCGGCCATGGGAGGTGGTATGTAGCTATGCTGTTATCAAGGCCACGCCCAGGCGACTGACTCAAAATACTCCTTTGATGGTTGCATAGGACACTCGAATAGGGTGCCCCTCTAAAGTGCCGCTTACACGCCATCCGACAACAAGCAATTCCCTGCTTACCGGGTACGTGTTGAGACGACGGGGTCTGGCAGATACGTGTGAGCCCTCCGCGGCGCCTCCATCTGCCTGCAGCATTGGGGCGGCCCCATTGACTTTGTCGTGTTGTTCTAAGCTTTCTTCCTATCAACAGGGCGCTTGCTAATCATCCAATCTTTTCGACAATTGACAAGGCTTTCCCTGCCATCCCTGCTGGCACGAAGCAAACTTGGGGTTAGTGGCAAGGGCTGGCGGCGGGGGAAGGTGGCGCAACCCCCAGCACCAAGTGTTCTTCTCCGCACGCACGCACATCCGTCGACCTGGTACGCCAACCCAACGCCACCCGGAGCAATCTGGCACGATGCGGTCTCTCTATCGTCCATTCTAACTTGGCAAAAGGCAGCTAGACGACCTCGTTGTTCATCGCCGAGCAAGGGCGAACACATCCGTCGATCGGCTGCCAGACGACCTCACAGAGGCGCCCATTTCCCCTTGGTTCTCGCCTTCCCCCGCAGATGTGCTAGGTAAAGGTGTTGTGGCATTGGGTGAGGGTCAGTGGATGAGGTTCGGGAAAACCTGACAAAACGAAACCGCCGACCGCCACAGTGCAGCCAAGGCGTGCTAGGCGGACGAGCTGAGCCGAGGCGGCCGCTAAAGATTGCCGTGCTCGAGAGGAGCCAAGTGTCTTGGAGGAGCGTCTCTACCCCCTCCTCGCCGTCCTGGCCTGGTGCTCAATCTGGGTGCATGTCTTGGCGCCATCCCCCGCTCCCGATAGTTTGCGTCTTGGCCATCGCGAAGCGGGGATCCGGGGAGGCCAAAATGAACATTCAGGGACTCCCGGCACGCTCGGGTTCCGTTCGGGTGGATAGGGAGAACACAACTGCGATATCTGACGTTTACAGTCAAGACAAGAGTCAGCCCAATGCTCCGCGGCCTCCACCCCCTACTTCTATTTTGGCCTGCCGATGCCGGGTTTGCCATGAAGGAAGCGTCTGGACGTTGACTCTCTGGCGCGGAAGGCGAATGTGTGGCCTTGTGAAGATCCCGTCGAGCTCTGCTCCTGCCATCTAGTCTTCGCATTAAGTTTTTGTTCCATTCTGCCGCCTCCGCGGCCGCGGGCGCACCCTAGAAGCTTGCCCAAGATTTTGGGGGGGGTTTTTTTTTGCCTCTGTTGGTGCAAAGCTGGTCTTTTGCCTTGATGCTCTGTGGGTGCGACTGACGCGTCGGACAGGATGCTCCTTGCCAAACCCAGCAACACCAGAGGTTCTCTCCCTTGCGGCATCTAGATACGCCCCGTTCGTCAAACATCTCTCGCTTCCTGTTTCCGCTGTCGGGGGCATTTGCTTCGGTCGAGTCGGGCGAACTTGGATCGGAGAAAGTTCTAGGCAAACGGCACGGACAAGGCGCTCTCGCTTTGCACACCACTCGGAACTCGTCGCCACACCCAGTGCGCCAAAAGCCTGATGGCAGGAACAGAAGAAACATACGCCCCTCCTCCTGCTTCTCCTCCCCGTTGCCGGTTCTTGTTCCGTGGGCTAGCCCGACTGGCGATGTTTCGCAATTCCGCACGTCTCCTCTCACTTTCCTCCTCTCCTTGGCGACCCTCCTCCGGATGGGCCCCGAGTGGTTGGGGATCAATATGCAGACACGAGCGATGGGCTGGAGGAATTGCCGCTCTGGACCCCGACGGAGCGGGCAGGATGATCTAGACCTGGACAACGTTTCTTCTGGCGTTGGTTCAGCACATGAAGAAAAAGCAACACATCCCCTAACGCGAGGCGCCCAATGGAGGGATCGCATTCGGGGTGGATCTCGAACACACGGCTTTCCTGGACGGCCGTTGTGGTGGGCCGATGACGATCACGGCAATGGCTGGCAAGCATCATGGCCGCCCAACGCCTCA